TCAGCTCTTCAGCTCAAGGCAAGCGCTCTACCACTTGAGCTACAGCGCCACTTCCGGTTTTCTGGTAGTTTATTGGAGATAGGAGTCTCACGGTTTCTCCTGCCCGGGCTGGCTTTGAACCACGATCCTCAGATCTCAGCCTCCTGAGTAGCTAGGATTACAGGCGTGAGCCACCAGTACCCGGCTCCCATCTTATTTTTTAATTGACCATAAAATTAAAATTAATAGGTTGTACTTGGTATTAGAACCACAGTCTTATGCTATGAAAAATGTTTATAATTATAAAGAGAAACAAGTTTTAAAACAACTTCATTTGTGTTTCCTCCTAGGTCAGCTGCCTATAATCTTCTGTGTGCCTTAACCTGTACCTTTAATTTAAAAATTGAGGGCCAGTTACTAGAGACATCAGGCTTATGCATCCCTGCCAACAACACCCTCTTTATTGTCTCCATTAGTAAGACGTTGGCGGCTAATGAGCCACACCTCACCTTAGAATTTTTGGAAGAGTGTATTTCTGGATTTAGCAAATCTAGTAAGTAACAATAATTTTCTTTAATACTAACAATGGTTCTAAGACAATTCATAGGAAATTTTTTGTTTTACAATTTACTAGGAAGTCTCTGACCTATGTTTTTCACTTTTAAAATATGTTTTGCAATTTTTCATCTATGATACCCTGTAACTGGAGGAATTCTAAAGGAAATTCCTGGTTAGGATACATTGGGAAATCCACTAATATTATGGCAATAAAAACAAGGTTAGAAGGATTTTTGGCATCTTACATGTTTCTGGACCCCACTGTAAAGTATTTTGTTCACTATTTCAGTTTAATGAGCTTGGGCATTTTTCATTTAGCAGAAAACTCCAGGTAACTACATATGTAGTGAGAAACAGTGTTTATCTTCTCTGGAGCTGACTTTGAGCTGTGATCCTTCCTTCCTTCCTTCCTTCCTTCCTTCCTTCCTTCCTCCTTCCCTCCTTCCTTCCCCCCCTCCCTCCCTCCCTTCTTTCCTTCCTTCGTTTCTTCCCTTCCTCTCTTCCCTTTCTTCTTCCTTCCCTCCCTTCTTCCCTCTCTCCCTTTCTTCCTTTCTTTCTTTTTTTTTTTTTTTTTGGTGCTAGTCTTAGAGCTTGAACTCAGGGCTTAGATACATCCCTGAGCTTTTCTCACATCTTGCTACTTGAGCTACAGCTCCATTTTTGGCTTTTTAGTAGTTAATTGGTGTTACTAAGAGTCTCATGGACTTTTCCTGCCAGCACTGGCTTCAAACTCAATTCTGAGATCTCAGCCTCCTGAGTAGCTAGGATTACAAGCATGAGCTACTGGTGCCCAGCTGAGCTGTGATTTTTTTGCACATGGAGAGTTACATAACACACAATCCATAGTCAGTCCTGAGTTGGCTTTTACAAATCTCACAAATTTCTGCTCCTCATATTATTGGTTTTACATGGACACAGAAACTAGAAGTGAATTTTCATGGCAGGCTAGGCCCCCCTTTTTTATATCTTAACTTTTTTTTAGTATAGTGGTACTTAAAATCATTGGTTCACCTAGAAAAAAATTGTTGAACTGTATTAATGTACAAATAAGCTGAAAAGTTGCATTTTCTATGTATTTTTTGACATAGCTGGTACTGTATTTCTCATGCTGGATTTCAAAAAATATCTATGTATCAAAACAAAACCTAAAGGGTGGTGTTTTATTGGATTGTGACAGGTTGAGTAATAAGGATTTAAGTCATTGCCATTTCATTAAAACTGAAAGATGATTTAATGCATATATAAGAGTTTTCGGAAGGGTTTTGGGGGCTTTTATAACAGCTTATTTTTGTTTTTTTTTAATTTTTAGTTTTTATTTTATTTTGGAAAGATATGACTATATTATATGCAACTCAGTTATTTATATTATAACTACAAAGTATTTTTGGGTTCCTGGAAAACAAAGAAAAAAGACTAATAAATGTCTTCGGCTGCTAAAAAGAAATCCAATGAATTTCACATTTTTATTTATTCATCTTCATATTCCATAGCAATATAAATGTTCATCTCCCAGCTTAGTTCTTGACATTTTTCCCTCTTTCCCTAAGTTGCACATACAATATTTTTATACATTTAGATGTATTTCTTGATTTTTCTGTGTTAAGTAATTGAAAGTTTTTACAATTTATCAAGTTTATTTTGTGAAGTGAGAGATGTGGGACAAAACCCTGAGAAAAAAATGTGCAGCACTGATAAAACTGGAAAGATACAAAGCTTTATTGATAAATATTAACATGAGAAAAGATTTGAGTGAGTGAAAACACATACTACGTCCTGGCATGAATTCTCCCCAGATTATTCCTCTAGATGATTACAAATTTAACGCAGTTCCATCAAAATAACCATGCAATTAAATGATCGACAGTGGAAATAGAACTCAATATGATTATAAGTTTTGTATAAAGTACAAGAATAGCTAAGATAATACTGAAAGAAAAAAATAGACTTGGTATTAAAGATGTCCAGACATTATAATGGTATGATAATTAAGATATTAATGTTCAAGAATAAGCAATCGGGGGGTTGGGAGGATATAGCTCAGTGGAAAGCACTTGCCTGGCAACTACAAGGCCCTAATCTCAGTCTGAAGCTCTGCAAAAAAACAAAAAAAAAAGAATAAGAATCAACTATCAAATACGTAAGGAAGTTTACAAACTGGTGGGGAAAGATGAAATCATTTAAGTAATGAGAGTAAGAGATGTATTAAGTTAGGTCTTCATCTTCATCCACACCATAAGATACAAAACTAAGTTCTAGCTGTATTTAAGTATTGAGTATAAAAAGTGGAGCTTTTAAAAAAAATCACAATAAAAAAAAGATTTTCTTTTGTTAGTAAAATGAAGGAAATGTAAATTGAAATAATTAAAATAGTGTGTTACCTGTAAGAGAGAAAATTTTGTGTGTGTGTGCCAGTACTGGGGCTTGACCTCAGAGCCTTGTACTCTTGCTTGGCTTTTTCCATTTAAAACTTGCACTGTACCACTTGAGCCATTCCTCCACTTCTGTCTTTTTGGTGGCTAATTGGAGTTAAGAGTCTTAAGGACGGGCTGGGAAGGTGGCTCAGTGGTAGAGCGCTTGCCTTGCATGCATGAGGCCCTGGGTTTGATTCCTTAGCACCACATAAGAAAAAAGAAAAAAGCCGGAAGTGGTGCTGTGGCTCAAGTGGTAGAGCGCTAGCCTTCAGCTGAAGAGCTGAGGGACAGCATCCAGGCCCAGAGTTCAGGCCCCACGACAGGACCCCAAAAAAAAAAGAAAAAAAAAAGTCTCAAGGACTTTCCTGCCCCACTGGCTTCAAACAGCAATCCTCAGATCTCACACTCCTGAGTAGTTAAGATTAATAGCATGAGCTACCAGTGCCCAGCTTTTGGGGAATCTTTGATGGAAAAATGAACTCCAGATTTAATCAGTATAATGTTTAATGAAAGAACAGGGTGTGCTACGTACATATTCTAATTCTTCTTTGGGTGGGCTGTTAAATTTGTGTCAACACACATGTAAGTGTATATTGGCTCTCCAAAGTTTTGAAAGGCTAAGGAGAGACAAGGTGGAATGCCAGTATATTAATACCAGTCTCATTTTTGTGGTAGTACTTTTTTCTTTTACTAAACTTCTACTATTAAGGGAAGAAAAATCAGGCAGCTTTTCAAAAATGGCTTACTAACTTTTTTTTTTCTTTTTTTTGTCAGTCATGGGGCTTGAACTCTGTCTGGGCCTAGGTGATGTCCCTCAACTTTTCAGCTCAAGGCTAGCACTCTACCACTTGAGCCGCAGCGCCACTTCTGGTTTTCTGGTAGTTTATTGGAGATAAGAGTTCCACAGACTTTCCTGCTGGGCTGGCTTTGTACCACGATCCTCAGATCTTAGCCTCCTGAGTAGCTAGGATTACAGGCATGAGCCACCAGCGCCCATCAGCTTACTGTCTTTTAAAATTACTTTCTTTAGGGTTTATTCTCTTTATATACCTCTTTTAAAAATAAATTTGCCAAGTCTCTCTTTCTTCAGACTTAATTCTAGGGAATGGTCTTTGCTTTTTACAGCCTCCTCCACTGCCCCCCCCCATTTCTTTAAAGTATTATCAATGTGATTTTTCTTGACCATCTATGCTAACGAGTATTCTTTTTCAGGTATTGAATTGAAACACCTTTGTTTGGAATATATGACTCCATGGCTGTCAAATCTGGTCCGTTTTTGTAAGCATAATGATGACGCCAAACGACAAAGAGTTACAGCTATTCTTGATAAACTCATAACAATGACCATAAATGAGAAACAGATGTACCCATCTATTCAAGCAAAAATATGGGGGAGCCTTGGGCAGGTATTGAATTTTCTCAGCTATTTATCCAGTATCTTACATCGATACTTCCCAGATACAAAGCACTGCTCTTCTAAGCACTAGTTTCCTCCTTCAAAACGTGTAAAAACACTCACCAGCCTCACTGATAGGAAATTGTGAATGTCTAATGCATATCTTAGAGGGCAGAGAAAAACTAGTTATTTTAGCACTCTTCTTCATGGAAAATTATATAGAACTTATTTGTAAAAATATGTTGTCATTGCTAGTAAACAGTGCTTTAAAATGTATTCCAGTTTCTATACCATGTGGACTTGAATACAAGTTTCTTAATGTTATTTGGGACATCTGCTTTTATTTATAGTTGTAGTATAAGACTGCCACTCTTAAAATATAGGCTATGAATTTTTTTGACTTGACAAGAAATATACATACTTACTATTGCTTCAAACCACTTAAGGAGGCAGTATCTTTAAACAATGGCATGAATTCTTTAATTAATCTTACCTTCAATCCAGTTTAATAGCCCTATGATGTCATTTCCTATATTTTAAAATAATTAAATTGGTCATCCATTACTATCTTAGAAGAACACAGAAATACTCTCCAATGAATGAAGATAGAAATATGTACCCTTAAAATTTTGAACATCAGTATTATGAAGAAATCAAATGAATGTCCTTATCCTTCCTCGTGGATTTTATAATAAAGTATATGTACTGAAAGGTCCCTAAATAAAATATAATATTTTGGAGATCTTAGGTAAAAAAGAATTTTCATGTTGGTTAGGCTTGCTCTTTGAGTAAAAAATCAATTGGCAATATGTTTGCAAACATGAGTTATTTTCCCTGTTCTGCTAGATCACAGACCTGCTTGATGTTGTACTAGATAGTTTCATCAAAACAAGTGCTACAGGTGGCCTGGGGTCAATAAAAGCTGAGGTGATGGCAGATACTGCTGTAGCTCTGGCTTCTGGGAATGTGAAGCTGGTCTCAAGTAAGGTAATCACTTTTTCTTCCCCATCTCTATTGTAGCACTATATATCTGCTTTATCTGTGTTTGCCTCAGGAGGGCTTGGGTTTTGTTTCATAATTAGTTATTTTAAACTCTTTTGTGTGCCTGTGTGCATATATGTATGTGTGTGTGTGCTGGTAATGGGGCTTGAACTCAGGGCTTGGGCATAGGCTTTTTTGCTTAGGGCTAGCACTCTACCACTTGGGCCACAGCTCTACTTTCAGCTTTTCACTGCTTATTTGTAGATGAGTATCGTGGACGTTCCTGTCCAACATGCTTCAAACCACAATCCTCAGATCTCCTGGGTACTAGGATTACTGGCGCTCAGCTTAAACTGCTTTTTAATGATAAAACTGTTAGTCCCATGTTTTTAAAAATTCATCTTTTTTTTACAGGTTATTGGAAGAATGTGTAAGATAATTGACAAGACATGCTTATCTCCAACTCCAACTTTAGAACAGCATCTTATGTGGGATGATATTGCTATTTTAGCCCGCTACATGCTGATGCTGTCCTTCAACAATTCCCTTGATGTGGCAGCTCATCTCCCCTACCTCTTCCATGTTGTTACTTTCTTAGTAGCCACAGGGCCTTTGTCCCTTAGAGCTTCCACACATGGATTGGTCATTAACATCATTCACTCTCTGTGTACCTGTTCACAGCTTCATTTTAGTGGTAAGTTAACAGAAAAAGAATTTGTATTTCATCAGTTTCCTTCTCCATTTACATCACCTGGCTGCTGTGGATTTCTTGTTTACAATGATGCCTTCACACCAAGGTGCTGTGATGAATAAAAAAGTAAAATACTTGTATTCCATGTTGAAACTATATTGAACATTTTCTGTGTATTTGTTATATAAACTCTTGTGGTTATTACATAAGCTAACTACTAGGTATAAGTTGATAGTGTTGCATTCTCAGTACTAATTTGTGGTTAAGTGAAGCTAAAGCTCTGAGCGTTAACATGCTGTGTCTGGAGATTGGTTTAGGGAACTTGGTTGTATAATTTTTATATGACACTGAGGTTTTCTAAATGAAATATGGCACTTTCAAATGAAATTTTTGCTAGGCACTGGTGGCTCATGCCTCCAATCCTAGCTATTCAGGAGCTGAGATCTGGAGAATCCTGTTCTGAGGTCAGCCTGAGCAGAAAAATTTATGAGACTATCTACAGTTAACCAGCAAAAATCCAGCCTAGAGATGTGGCTCTAGTGGCAATGTGCCAGTCATGAGCAAGAAAGTCAAGCAACTATAAGGCCCCTGAGTTCAATCCCCAATACTATCCATTTTTTAAAGGAATTTAAATATTGTTTTGTCAACATTTTTACTTCTCGTTTTTTCTTTTACAGAAGAGACCAAACAAGTTTTGAGACTCAGTCTTACAGAGTTCTCCTTACCTAAATTTTACTTGCTGTTTGGCATTAGCAAAGTTAAGTCAGCTGCTGTCATTGCCTTCCGTTCCAGTTACCGTGATAGGTCATTCTCTCCTGGATCCTATGAGAGAGAGACTTTTGCTTTGACATCCTTGGAAACAGTCACAGAAGCTTTGTTAGAGATCATGGAGGTATGTAAAGCAAAAATGAAAAAAAAAACTTAAGTAAAAATTGTTTTGAAATCTGTACATAAGAACTACTATTTTTTTCTGCTGTTTTTCACATAATACTTAAAAATACTTCCATGAATGTTATTGGTAACATAAATGCCAATTAATGACATTAAGATGAGCATTATTTCAATGTTTCTAAAAACGAGTGCTTATGTATATTGAAACTATCTGTTTTTCAGGCATGTATGAGAGATATTCCAACATGCAAGTGGCTGGATCAGTGGACAGAACTAGCTCAGAGGTATGTTCCAAATTAAATATAAATTGTAAAAGTAGATGTATTTTGATCAAGATGCATAGTACTCATAACCTCACTTCTGGAATTGAAATGCCTTTGTACAAGTACTGAATAAAAATATTAAAATAATTGGGGCTGGGAAGATGGCTCAGTGGTAAAGCGCTTGCCTTGCATGCATGAGGTTCTGGGTTCAATTCCCCAGCACCACATAAGCAAAAAGAAAAAAAGTCGAAAGTAGCGCTGTGGCTCAAGTGGTAGAGTGCTACTCTTGAACTGAAGAGCTGAGGGACAGCGTCCAGGTCCAGAGTTCAGTCCCCATGACCGGAACCAAAAAAAAAAAAATTAGATAGACATATTGTTGAAATTATAGATATATTGTTGAAATGATTATTGAATGATAGCTACATTCATTCCTTGTAATCATTGTTGGAATTTACTAGTTTTCACACACACAGGCATTTCATAAACTCTTTGCATTTTTTAATTGCAGATTTGCATTCCAATACAATCCATCCCTGCAACCAAGAGCTCTTGTGGTCTTTGGATGTATCAGTAAAAGAGTATCTCATGGGCAAATAAAGCAAATTATCCGCATTCTTAGCAAGGTACTCCAAAATGTTTATAGTTTCCAAGATATAGAGCATACTTTCCATCTTAAAAAACCTAAAATTGTAATAAAAATAATTTATATGTTCTTACTGTTTAGTAGTTTAAAGTTTATTTTTAAAACGGGCACTGGTGGTTCACACCTGTAATCCTAACTGCTCAGGAGGCTGAAATCTGAGGATTGCAGTTCAAAGCCGGCCCAGGCAGGAACATCCATGAGACTCTTATCTCCAGCTAAACACCAGAAAACTGAAGAGGTGCTGTGGCTCAAGTGGTAGAACACTCGCCTTGAGCTGAAATGCTCAGGGACAGCTCCTGGGCCCAAAGTTCAAGCCCCATGACCAACCAAAAAAAAAAATGTTACTATAATTATTGAAGAAACTGTCTTTGAAGAAAATGTCTTCAGCTGAACACTGGTGGCTTATGCCTATAATCCTAGCTAGTTGGGAGGCTGAGATCTGAGGATCGAGGTTCAAAGCCAATCTGGGCAAGAATGTCCATGAGACTCTTATTGCCAATTATCCACCAAAAAAATCTGGAAGTAGAAGTGTGGTTCTGTGGTAGAGCACTAGCAGGCCCTGAGTTCAATCCTCAAGATCAACACACACACACATACACACACACACACACGGTAGAGCACTTGCCCTGCAACACACACACACACACACACACGGTAGAGCACTTGCCCTGCAAAAAACACACACACAGACACACACACAGACACACACAGACACACACACACACACACACACACACACACACACACACACACA